CAACAACAACAACAACAACAACTGCCGTTTCGTGAATATTTGCATAATGTTTATCTTTGAGACGGTTTAAATGATAACATCTTATCTGTATACTCTGTTGTTAACGATTCTGATATAACGGGTGGTAAGCTTACTGCGTCTTTATCTAACGTTCATTGTCAGTCAAGACTTCGTCGGAAAAATGAGGTTATAACTATGAGCAACTTTATTTTAAATCTTTTAAAGTCAATATTCTTTTTACTAACACCATTTTACTAACGCAATATCGAGGAGCAGAAAGAAAGCGAAGACGCCGATGACAGAGGAGACAAATAAATATCTGCGACTCAGTAAGGAGGGGGTCATATGATTATGACAACTTCGCGAGTGGTTCTAAAGGGAGGTTGAACTATCCGCATTCACGTGAAAGAATTGTTGTTTTTCGATATCAACCAAATAAAACAGAGCCATCGTTTCCGTTTACGAAGAGAGCTTGGGCCCATCTAATTTTCCGTCGACACTACCGTTTTAGTGTTCTATCTTCAGCAGTGTTTTTTTTCCACAAAGTCGAAAATACGGTGTGTCACATGCACACATGTCGTTTTGGGGTGTAACATAAACTTGCCCGCGTGATATCTGTGCCAATCAACGTCACAAAAATAATATTCCCTTCTATCGACTATCAGCAAACTGACCTGTTTTTTTTCAGCCTTTCAAAGCAGGAGTATTTTTGCACCCCAGTCCTGCTACTTCCGAGAAAGTCGTCTACAGAGTCGTTATACGAACATGGGACAAAGCAACATTCCTCTAAAACTTCACACTTGTTCAACTAACTGACATTTTGTTTCTTAGATTTGAACAAGTTTTTTCTTCAAATCATGCGTCTTCTTGGTTGTGTCTATGTTATGTCTGAGCTCGGTTGCCATTTGGAAATGGGAAAGTTGTATATACTTGTTCACGTGCATAATATTCACATCCAAAAATCGCCACAGAGGGCGCTTAGCCCTGGGCTAGGCGTTCACGCACATTTCGTTGGCCCGTGCTAAGAGTCTGGACCGCGTTTTGAAATCGGATCAGGTTTCGCCCTTACTTAGCATTCCTTAGCCCGTGCTAAGCATTCACGCACGTTTTCTTAGCTCGGGCTACGGAATTTGAACTCTTAACCCGTGCTAAGGAGATGTGCGTGAACGCAACTAGTAATGTTAGGCAGAGGCTTATCCCTCGTTGTGCGTTTGCGTAACAATGAAGCCATGTCTCCCGAACGCTCCAGCAGTACGGGACTCAAAATGCCAGCCGTTTTCTTCAATTTTCACTATCGCGCTTGAAATTATTCGTTATCTGACACGCTTAAAGGGTTCTCTGACATCAGTATTTATTACGATTGGTCATTTTTAGTGTGTGTTTATAATACTGCAACAAATCTTCAGTGTTTTACATTATCTAAAAAACAACAACAGTTTTTCGCGTTTTTTCACGAGATCACAGTCACTCTACTATTAGAGTTACTGTGACGAGATTAAGTTTGGATTCAGTACCGCTCAATGGGACCGCCGTCAAATCGAGTGCCCTGGGCTTGGACATTCAAACTCACACTTATCACAAGATTATGACGGTGTGAAATATGTCTGTTGTTTTTACGAAAATGTTTTGTCACAGAATTATAGTGCTAAGAATGAAATAATTAGGGGCAAAAAACATACCTACGTCGCAGTGTGCTCTCGCAATCGCGGATTTAGTCATTTTTACAAGGTTTACCATTTTTGCTGTCACGTGGTAATTATGTAAACAATGACTGTCTAGTTTGTGTGAAATTGACCCTCTATACGTAGGCTTTTGAATCATATACACTAAAGTAGGTTCTGAATAAAACAACAGACATAGAACGCCTTATTCAAAACAGCCGTCAAACCCCTCTCGCTACCTTAAGCGCAATAAATGCACCGTATTTAATGTTGGCAGTAAACTTCCGCGGGTGAAATCCTCGTAAATTATTATAACTTGGTTAGCTGCAAAATGGATCTCTTGACGCCATTTACTTCATACGTGAACGAATGATCATTATGGGAGAACCAAGTGTGTATTCATACTAAATCACTTCCAAGGACTATGTGCGGTATGGTAATGAATAACATCGATTTTAATCAGTTATGTGAATGTGTGAGTTTTGATAGTAAACTTGCAGTACGTTGTTCCGTGTGTTTGTGAGTGTTCTCAATTCAAATGACAATTTTAAATCTATATATATCAGTGTAGTCAACCAAACACTCACGACTCATGGATGTTCTTTTGTGCTAGGTTAAACAATTTTGAACATAATGTGATCACTGGACTGCTCTAAACACTCCTATCTACAAAGGTTCTGGAGAATTTGTCCACTAGCATATTATTAACTATGTTTCTACAGGTAGTTTTGTCTAGATTTAAAAAAAAAATATTCAGCAAGGGTAAGGGTTATTTTACAAACTCACATATTAAAATGAGTGTACAGTATGGTAATGAATAACATCGAATTTAATCAGTTATGTGTGAGTCTTGACAATAAACTGTTCCGTGTATTTGTGAGTGTTCACTGTTCTTAATTCAAATGAATGACAATTTTAAATCTATATATATCAGTGTAGTCAACCAAACACTCACGACTCATGAATGTCCGGGTTGAACTATTTTGTACATAATGTGATCACTGAACTGTTTTAATCCCTCCTTTCACTTTAAAGTAGCCCTGGGAATCATTTCACTAGCATATAATATATCACAGTTTATTTGTAGGTAGTTTGCAATGATTAGGAGGGAGTTTTCATGTCTGCAACATACACATAATTGCAACAGATGTACGGTATTTAACATTAATACATGTTATATGCGAACTTTCTTTGTCACTTCGTTCCTCAAACATTGAAGCTATCGTGTTGGGACGTGTCTATTACCAGGATAAATGTGCAACAGACGCCGCTGCGACCAGTGAACAAAACCGCGTTGCATGTGGGAATATAATATTGGGTAGTCTAGATTAAAAATCACTATTCAGTAAATGAAAGCCTTGGTTATTATCTTGCAGTACATTGTTCAGTGTGTTTGTAAGTTGTTCAGAATCCAAATGACAATTTTAAATCTATTTATATCGGGGCAGTCAAGCAAACACTCACGACTCATGTGTCAATAAATGTGTCGACTGTGGACGGAAGGATTATGAACTGGTGATCTTTATTCGAATGGTGACATCGGTTAAACGAAGCATATAATGGTACAATGGTTGTCCCTGTGCGTTGGCCAAACGGCCAATCCCAGAGAGCAAAAAGTGGACCAGGTCATGTGTATATGTCCGAGTCTCTCTAAATCTATATCTAGTATGAAGTAACATGTCTTTTTATGAGGTAAATCACGTGATCCAATTTAATACATCACATGACTCAAAATGACTTTATGAAAGGGCAGTAATTCAATACACCCGCATAATTAAGTTTCCCGGAAATACATTGAATAAAAATCCATCGAATAAAAATACAAAAGTGATTTTAGCACCTCCACATTGTGGCAAAATGCTCCATAGGCTGATTTGTCACAGGTGATAATGTTTTACGAATTATATTAATACACGTGGTGCCACACACTGTCAGCTGCCCTTATACCACAAACTTGCTAAAAGTGATATTGTTTTAGAAGCCACGCTTGTTGATAGCAATGTGAAGATACGCTTGTAGTGTTTCAATACAAGCGTCACCCGTGGGAATTCTGACAACGCCCATGATTGGTGTCCGTACGAGCGATAGGACAAATGAATATCCGTTGCTCTTGTTTCGGGTTGAACTATTTTGTACATAATGTGATAACTGAACTGTGTTGACCCCTTCTTTCACTTAAAGTAGCTCCTCGGACAAGCATTTTACTAGCATGTAATAAATTAAAGTTCGCAATGTTTAGAATGGGGTGTCTGCAACATACAAATAAGTGCAATAGATGCACCGTATTTAATGTTGGTAGTAAACTTCCGTCTGCGGGTGAACGTAAATTATTATAGCTTGGCTAGCTGCAAAATGGCCAACGCCCAGGGACAACCATTGTACCATTGTATGGTTCGTTTAACCGATGTCACCATCCGAATAACGATCACCAGTTCTCAATTCAAATGACAATTTTAAATCTATATATATCAGTGTAGTCAACTAAACACTCACGACTCATGAATGTTCTTTTGTGTTAGGTTAAACAACGTTGAACATAATGTGATCACTGAACTGTTTTGAACCTTCCTATCTACTAAGGGTGCCTGGAAAATTAGTTTATCGTTATTACAGTTTGGTTAGCTGCAAAATGTGAACTCTTGACGCCATTTGTTGTGTACGTGAGCGAGTTGAAAAACCGAGTGTTTAGTGTGCCGGAAATAGATATACTTTTTTTTGAAGAGTGCAGATATATTCACACTGCTATTTAAAATGGCCTGTTTAGAATCTAAGAATACAATAGTTATGCATATTTGTTTCGGCAATATTGAAATTAGATAATAAAAAAAAACAAGAAAATCGTGCTCAGCATTTTGGAAACCAATTGTGGTCGTATGCAGTAAAATGAACACGTTTACGCCATTCTTTTACTTGAACCAGTTTTAGTGTGACTACTAATTTCTTTAAAGGGAAAACTTTGATGGGCATTAGTTTCTCCATGTAGAGTACTCAAATGTCTTGTTCACTTTGGAACATAAAATGTCGTGCAACATGGCTGAAACATTGATGAGTCTTAGACACAATGTCTAAAATCGGAAAATAAGCCTAATTATTTTCACTGTGGGTCATCCGTGTAAATGTTGAAAACTTGCCACAGAAGCAATATATTCAGCGGCGGATCAAGTGAGTCATTCACATTCATTATACAAAGTCAAGGCAGGAGACACACAATGCTAACAGTACATATTTGCTTGTAAGACAGATGTTCTTCTTTGGATGTCCACCAATAATATTTCAAATTTTGTGTTATTTTTCTGTAAATTGTCTTTTAACAAGTTATAGCAGACCATCCCACCCTGTTTCAGGCTTACCTCATTCATAATAGGTTTTTTCAAAACTGTCCATTATAATTACACATCTCATTTGTTAAAATCTGTCAAATTTGCCAATAATGCAACAAAAGAAAATGTTTTTGATCAGTTGATCTATCATTAAGCAAATGAGTGGTATAAATAATAATTATTCGTGAATAAAGCATACAATCTTATTTACATAAGGCTTGTGTAGTTTCCGTAATGGACATATAATGAGAACAATTATATATATATATTATATATATTATTCCGTAATATTTTTCCCCGATCAGCTGGGGAAAATACGAGTGACGTAAAAGCCGCATCACTATTCGTCTTCGACACGTAATGATACAGCTCTTACGCACTAGTAGTTTATAATCTAGATCTACACTTAAATAAATGACTGATCCTTTTGTGTATGTGTTGTCAATGTATAGGTGGCCAGGTGTCAGCAGCTCCACTGCAAGAAGCGATTGGTGAGATTGTTTTAGGAAGTACTGTGGTAGATGTTTACTACTCGCATAAACCCGAAGCACACTTTAATGCCGAGAAAATTGAACAGGGTAACTTCATTTCAACTCATTAAACCTATGATGTTCGTATATACTTTCAAATGATTTTTTAAATGTATTATAGAATCAGTGGCCTAGACAGTCAGAATACAACATTTCAAACATCCAACTGTTGAATGCATGTTTGCTGTCTCCGCCATAAATTCGCGTATGCCAAAACTGCAATATTACAAGCCAACTTAATTTGTGTATCTGTAAATCGTTCTCACTGTATGATTCAATTAGATATTGAGGTGTTCGTATACATGTTGTTAATGGGAAAGGAGCACCGAATTTGTTCGTGTTTCATTAGCAACAGGATTTAAGTTAAGCCATCAGAAAACCTTGCCATGTGTTCGTCTTGTTCTACGGGTGATAAAGTGTTTTTATAAATTAATTCACAATAGCACTCATATTTGTAAAATACATGTTATGCAGTGTATATTACTGGAAGCACACAAACTGATCATGACCTTGATCATATAGTTGACGTTGTTGCCTTGTTTGTGTACATTAATGCATGGATTTTGGTTATACAATTCATATCTGTCTACAGGGAATAGACAATTACAGGAACTTAGAATTGTTATCCTTATTGAGTTGCAACGTGAAAATCCTGACTATGTGAGAATACGAGCATTGATAGGGCAATATCTACACATAATCCAAGATTTCTACAGCAATACAAACTGGATTGAAATGAATGGAACACTAGCCTACGAGAATCTAGGTAAAAATAAATTAATACAGCTTAATATATATATTACTGCGCCAATAAACCTGGGGTCGTTCATTGTGTATGTTGGTACCTGTTTTTATAAACTGAGTAGAACAATGTTTGAAAACGGTTGGTCAATCGAATGATTGCACATTTAATACAAAGTTGGGTAATCTATACTGACTTACAAACAACATTACATTTCTTCATTTAAATGAAATATACATTTTAATAAAGCCAAAGAACTATTGTTATTTCAATAACCCATTATCTATATATTCTTTACATATATAAGGACTGGATGGAGTTAACATTATTGCTGTCACAGAAACAACAGAAGCCACATGTACTAGCTGCGATTTCAGGTACTGGCAGCTTTAAATAGTTTTCAACAATACAGTCCACTTCAGACATTTTGTATAGCATACATATAATGAACATGATATCATATATTATCAAGGTCATATCAAGGTGTTCTCGTTTTTAAAATGACGATCATGTGGAGTGTCACTATTAGTTTTTATGTCATTCAAATTTCCACTTTTTCAACGATCATCGAATGTATCATTGTAATAACTAGGAACATGTTTGTCTATTAATTGTTAGCATACGGGGCAATTGCGATGACAATATTATTAGCGATACTCTAACTAGTGGATATCACTCTTTCAGTAGTAAGACAAAAGGTATGTAAATTTCTCTCATGTCTTTATTTCAGTTGTTAGAATTAAAGACTCTTTCTGAAAATGAGGACAATGATGAGCATGTTAAAATAGTGGTTTAAATTACAAATTCTTAATATCTAGTTGGTTTAGTTTGACATATTCAATTTGAATTGAAATTGTGATCATAACACTCAATCAATTCAATTGCCCCAGGAGTTCAACTTTTGGGGCCATGAGTTAGGTAATCAACTCATGGTGTCAGAGACACTAGAGGTCATTTAGTAACATTTTAGGGAAATACATATTTTTTTACTATTGCTTATGGTTGCGTAATTTCAATTCGGTTAGTCGTGTAAAACAGTTTATGGGGTATTTATTGTCTTCTTTCTTTACTTAATTAATCTTTTATTATTTTACCAGTAAATGGGAAGTGTTCCCATGGCGGTAAATATGA